AGTGAATGTAACGAAGGTCTAGAAACACAGATGACAGCAAAAAGTTCATGCAGATGTCAGGGATCTACATAGTAGCTCCGCCTGTGAGAGGAAGAGTGATGATCTGGAAGATGCCAAGACTACCTGGCTTTTGCTGAGGACAGTGTGGAAGAATGGGCAGGCTCTACTTGTGAGAACTGAGAGGTGTACAAGCCTGGAGAAAGCTGTTTCTCTTAAGGAAAAGAAGTGCATGAGTGATCTATAAAAGGGATAATAGAGATGACCCAGTTTACATGGAGTTCTAATTTTTGTGTGTGTTGAGAGGCACCGTCACTCAGGAGGGAGCGCAGTGGCATGATCATAGTTCACTGCAGCCTCAACCTCCTGCTCAAGTGATCCTCCCACCTCAGCATCTTGAGTAGCTGAGACTACAGGCATGTGCCACCACGCCCAGCTAACTTTTTATTTTTTTTCATAGAGACAAGTCTTGCTCTGTTGCCCAGGCTGGAGGGCAGTGGCATGATCATAGCTGACTGCAACCTCAACACTTGGCCTCAAGCAATTCTCCCACCTCAGCCTGCTGAGTTGCTGGGATTACAGGTGTGAAACACCATGCCTGGCCTATGTGGAGTTTTAGAAGGCACTGCATAAAGAAAGGCAGGTGTCAGTATAGGTGGTACTGCTAGCAAGGCAATTCACCTGTGACCTTCAGCAATAACGGCCTCTGAGCCTGTTTACTTATCTGTAAATTAGGGACAATACTTGTCCTAAACCCCTTATGTGGTGATGATGAATTGAGACGTGAATATAACTACAGAGCAATTTAAGTTGGACTAGAATTTAGGCAAAATGTCATGCTGAAGTATGTATTCAGGTAATTAACAGATTACTACATCTACATGTGCATATTTTTATGATGCCTGTTTTATTTCAAGTGAATGTGAAACCCATTTAAATCAAGGGAAGTGTGGTCAAGGGTGTCAGATGTCACAGAGATGATCAGTCAGTAGTCATTCTTCACTATGTGACTTTCAGAGGATGACACGGGTATAAAATGAGCACATCTTTCTGTGCTTACCCCAGGTACAGGCTTTTTCAGACGTTATTTTTCTCAGGTGGTTATTATTCCCATTCTCCAAGTAGCAAAAATAAGACTGTGTTAATCAGATTGGCAAAGTAAAACTCTAAACCAGGGGTTGAGAAACTTTTTCTGTAAAGTGCTGGACATTAAACACTTTAGGCTTTGTGGGCCACACAGTCTGCTGCAACTTACACACTAATGTTGTAGCACAAAAGCATCCCTGGACAACACATATTATAAATGTGACTGTGAGCCAATAAACTTTTATTTACAAAAAACAGTGTCTCTTCAGACTGGGCCCACTGGTTGTTGCTTACTGACACATACTCTAAACAGTTTGTTCTAATCCCAGGCCTAGTATTCTGTTACAGTTTAGATAATACACGCGGCCAGTGGTCTCTTCTCAAATGACACTGTTCAAGCTTTAGGTACATTTGAATGCTTAAATAAATTTAAAATGTTAAATTTAACATGCTTAAATGTTTACATATATATTAAATATGGCCTCAATGTGGAACATAGCTGCGTTTCTAATGAACTGAGGATGAAAAACCAAACAGGAAATTAATTAGTGTCTGACAATGGGGGTTTTGACTAAGACCAAACTGAGGTAAGGTATGCTGGTTCTGGTTTCAGATAAGCTGCTCAGCAGTTAGAGAAGCCTAGTTCAGGTTAACCTCCCTTCTCATCTGTATAATGGTACACTTGGGTTGTTAGAACTCTATGAGCTCTTCCAGTTCCAACATCCTAAGACTTCACTCGTGATTAAAATTGGGATCTTTTATCAAAGTTCTAGCAATTCAGTCAGTCCCTCACTTGCCACTTTTGCCAGGCTATTTCTAAAAGCTGTCAATGACATTATCAGTTACCACACACTAGCTCTCTCCCCATTGTCTTTCCAGGTATGAAAAACTTTATTTTCTTTGTTGAACACAGGGAATGTCAGTGAAGTTCCTCCTAACAACCTGGAAGTTTAACTCTTGAGAAAGGCAAGTAAGTCTATTTCACTGAAACAAAATAGCCTGAGGGCATCACTTCCCCAACAAAGACAACCTGGAAATCCAATTATTCAGTGTTGTGAAGGCTAAGCAACTCCATCTGGGATGTTAATCCACCATGTTGACTGCTGATTCACCCCTTTGGAAAGTCTTTTAAGATTATCTATTGTTCCTTATAAGAGTAGGTACTCACCATAAATCCTGCCCTAAGGTCGAATGACCTCAGATGTTCTCTTCAATTGTCTTACACATCCCTTCTGAATCACCCCTCCAGTATGGTATGTAAGCCCCTGGTGTGTGTGTGGGGGGGGGCGGATAATGGGGTAAAGACTCATGATCTTGCCTCAGCCTGAGACACAGACATGACTTCTGTTCTTAAGGACCTATTAAACATGTCTTTTAAAGAAAATACTATGTCAGCCTCTTTATTTGGCGCCTCAGCTTTCTTGGATTTCAAGAGTAAGTTTGCATAGACCTGTCCACTGAAAAACGTGGAAATCTAATACTTTGTATTAAACTCAAAGGATGTGAAAACCAGGTGGTCTGGGGGCACAAAAAAAGTTAGCCAGAGATTCAGTATGTACCCCAGCACTGCCGGGAAGAGGTTTATCTGAGACAAAATGCACTATTAAGGGTATTAGTTATATGACCAAGCCTCATTGGTGTGAACTATATAGCTCTAATCCCATGCTCAGTAACATCTTGCCTGGCTTTCATGATACTGTTAAGATGAAGGATAGCCAAAACAGCTCATCACTGGAAATATTCTCCATCGTAAGAAAACCATAGTTCACTCTTATTTTAATTTTCTGACTTTGTAAGAGATGAGGTTTCACTGTCACCTAGGCTGGGGTGCAGTGGAGCCATATCTCACTGTAGCCTTGAACATCAATAGCTGGGACTACAGGTATGCCACCATGCCGAGCTACGTAGTTTATTTTTACCTGAGTCTGACCCATATGAAAAAGCCTGAGACTAGTCAATTGTCCCTGGAAAGGCCTCTTCCTAGACAGTGATGTGAATTCCATCACACTATTTAATTTACAACAAACAATCTTCAGAGGTTAAAGCAAAAATACACAACATAATTAACGGCTATAAAGAAACTGGAAGCCGGGTGCAGTGGCTCAAGCCTGTAATCCCAACATTTTGGGAGGTGGAGGTGAGAAGATTGCCTGAGCTCGGGGTTCGAGACTAGCCTTTGCGACATGGCGAGACTTCATCTCTATAGTAAATCAAATTAGTCGAGCATGGTGGTACATGCCTGTGATTCCAGCTACTTGAAGGCTGAGGTGGGAGGATCACCTGAGCCCAGCAGGCAGTAAGCGTGCCACTGCACTCCAGTCTGGGTGACAGAGTGAGACTGCAACTCAAAAAATAAAATAAAAAAATACTAGATGAAGAGTCCAAGGGAAGCACTTTCGTTACAGAACTACTGGTTCTAGTCCTAGACCCATGTAGTCAATACAGTAGCCACTAGTCACTTATAGCTATGCAAATTAACTCAAGTTGAATAAAATATTCAGTCCTGTAGTCACATAAGCCCCACTTTAAGAGCGTAATAGCCACATGTGGTTAGTGGCTATCATATTGGACAACACAGGTCTGAGATATCACGATAGGAAGTTCTGTTGGACAGTGCCATTCTAAACAAAATCCAGTGCAGGTGGGACCTGGAAAAATAGTCCTTAAATTCACCTGGCTCACTTCTGATACTAACCTAGCCACCTACAGCGAAGCACCAGAAATGGAAGACATGTGGGGTGTCCCAATTTTCTTATTTATAACAGTATATACACCCTTTTACTGCTAGAAATGTCCTTTTGCCTCAGCACCCCAAAGTGCTGTGGCTGCTAGCATGAGCCACAAGCCCGGCCAAAATGTCCTAACTAATTACAGGATCACTTACATCAAAGTCACCAGAGGAATTTGAGTGTTAACTCACCTAAAATATGGCAGGTTATCAACTTTGCCAACACAGGCCTTAGTAAACGCAGAAGGCATAAAAATGAGAAAAATTTCAAAACTATAAATATCGAACAGGGATGCTCTGCATATAAAATCAACCCAAGCTCTCAAGAAAGGCATATATTGTATGTGAATTAACCAGAAGCCTTTAGCTAGATGGGTAAATCAGCAGGGATTGATTACTTCTGAGTTAAATGATAAAATAAAATTTCTGAACTTGTATACTAACCAAGATGAAAGGCCTAGTGACTATAAATATTGAGCTAAATTTCTATATCTATCTTAAAAGAAGGCTCACTTTCTATATCATTCCCAGGGCACAAAACAATAAAAATCAACGTCCTAGCCTTCAGTTCTGTCCACATTAGTCCAGAATTATCCCTCAGAAGTTAACTGCTACATCATCTCTAAACATCACTAATTTATACAATCACCAAGCCCTCTGTTACAAGGGATTTCAAAGACTGAAACTTTTGCAGGATTTCCAGAATGCATTTTTAGACCCCCAACCAATATTCAGATTGGGACTTGAAACCTGAATTACAGAAGGCCTTCCAAAATTGTTCCTGTATGTTTCCACACTGACTTCCTTGGTTTCTCACATTTCTTATATAAATAAAAATGAGGCCCACATGTTACAATCACTGCCAGGCCTAAAAGGCCTATTTAACCATTCCTATTACATTGAAACCAGAGTTGAAGCCCTCTTCCTGTCTCCTCACTGTCCCACAGACAGATTCTCACTTCCACCAGCCTAGACCTATTTCTCTCATTATTCTTCTCAACTTAGTTCAAGCTTACCATCTCCTTAAAATTTCCAAGGACTACTTACTGTGTGTATGGTACACACTGTGTCTAAAATAATTATTTAAGTCCATGACTAGTAACACTGCTGCATCGATATTTAGGACTATTATACTTTTTAACCATTAAAATTTTTGGCATCAGTCATTAAATCAAGCACAGCCAAAAAATTATGATCTGTGATTTTGTTTTTAATTATCTCAAGTTTCAGGATCACACATAATTTTAAAATTTGCATATATCTCCCCTACTTTAATCCCTCTAATGAGTTGGCAAAAGCACCATTCCCAATCACACATACATAGTAGTTCCACGGTTTTATGTGTTTTTGATGGCTGTTTTAAAGACAATCCTAAATTATAACTTAGGTCTGACTTAGATAATAAAGAATTCAAAAGTAAAGGTTAACTTGCTACTATTTCCTGTCACACTAACTTTTAAAAGCACTTGACCTTAAAGATTGCCTATAAAAACGGAGAAGCATTAAAGTATTTATTTGATATTATACATAAACCACACTAAAATATCTTTTAGTAAGTAAAAGTATTTTTAGATACAGGGAATTCTAATTAGATTGGCATAGTTAAAACCAAAAATATAAAGTAGATATTGCTACTTTATCTTCAGTCCTTGCTTTTAAGAGGCCAATGAACACAAAAAAGACGAGCCTTGCTTGGTTCTGAGACAGTTAAGGGACTTCCTCAGTATTTAAATATATTCATATAACCAGTTATATAAATCTAAATATAAAACCAATTTCCAATAGATTTTAAGATGGCATTCACCATCTTTGTGAAAAGTTGAACATTACTAATCAAATACAATCTTATCCTTAGAAGGGGGAAAACAGTGAGATAGCATTTTCAAAATTGAAATTACTATTGAAATTAAAAAAAGATCGTATTCACATAACCACAAACCAGTTTTAGTTAAATCAGGACTGTCCAACAAAAATATTCTGTCAGCCACTCATGATATGAATTCTGGTATAAGAGATCAATTAAATTATGGTACACATAAAAAAAGTCATGAGACACTTCTGTTTTGTAATAAATAAGGCAGTGGCCACTTATTACTCATTAGTAGCTTTTTTGAGATAAGCTATCAAGTCTGCCCTTTCTCCCTTCTTCTTAATGCCGGCGAAGATCATTTTTGTTCCAGGGATGTACTTCTTGGGATTCTCCAAATACTCCATCAGGGTATCTTCTCCCCAGGTGATGCCTAAACAAGAAAGGATGCACTGGTAAAGCACTTCACACTCCTGATAAAGAGTTTGCCATAGGTCACAGTTTAGAGTCATGCAATTTGTGTTATTTAACAACTGTCTTCCTCTTACCTTTGTTCTTATTGGCGTCTGTGTAAGAGAATCCAGCAGCCTGACCTGTCTTCCGCCCAAAAAGACCATGGAGATTTGGCCCAGTCTTGTGCTTGCCTCCCTTTTCCACGGTGTGACACTGGGCACACTTCTGAACAAAAATCTTCTTGCCTTTCTCAACATCACCCATATTTAACTCTAAAATGAAAGACCCAACGTAGTCATTTTTTTCCTCAAGTAACAAACACTGTAAACCAAAGATCGCTCCAGTCACTTGAATACCCACCTACTGCTAATCAATGACATCGAACATCAGGATAAATCGTTTTACTTACTATAGCCACATTACTTTTTAATATCCAAAATATATCCAGAAGTTCCTTAAAAACGTCTGTGTGTGTAAATGAAGGAAGATGAAGGCACAAGCAAAGTGAGAACCTAGTGCAAACCTCAGTTTCAAAAGATAGGTCAAGGTCACCAAGTGTCATATCTTAACTGCGATCACATTAAACCAAAACCAACATTCCATCCTTTAAGAAAGTCTAATTATTTGTTAGTACTACAGCTGAAAGCCACCTCTCTTTGAAAACAAACCAAAGCCATACGTTTAAAGAAAGCGGTCTTGGCTGCTTCCGCCCGCTCAGTTCACGTGGGTCGCTTGTCACTCGACCCACCCGGTCGTGGAAGAGCTCGCAGGGGCGGCGGCGAGGTCTCCCCGGGATATCCCCACTCCCCACAGCTCTGTGATCCCGGAGACGACCACGAGGTCACCCATCCAGGTCGGCGTCAAGGTGGCTGATGAAATCCACCTCTCCGACATGCCAGAGCGATAGGCAGGAGAAACGATTAGCGTCCAGAAAAAGGAACGACCCCTTATTAGAGGAGCAGCGGTTTTTGCTCTCAAGGACGCCAAGCGCTGCGTTCCGGCCTTCCGGCAGGAAGTCCTGACTCCCATTCCAACAGCCCCTCAGCCACACGACTAGAGGGCCTGCGTCCCCTCCCCGCCACCCCCTGGATTCGCATCCAAGCCACCTCCAGCCCTCGACTGGGCTCATTCCTCGACCTCGTTAGGGTTCCCCCCCACCTCAAAGCGTTACCGGCCGGGTTCTGGCTGGCCACGGTCCAGGGTCCCCCCCTCCTGGTCCTGCCGCCCCACACGGGCTCGGGGGTATCCCGCGACCTCGATCGTCCGCGAGGGACGTCTCCCATAATCTCCCTCCCACCCGCTGAGGCTTCCTCGCCTCGCACTCACCTCTCTTTCGTCGCCGGCGCTACACACCTTCCCGCTTGGAAGCCGGACGTCCCGCTCTCTAAGTCCAAGGACACGCCGGTCCGCGCCTATGTACCGGTGTTGGTGCAACCAAACTCGCCCCGCCCACCCACCGCCCGACATGCAATCGAGCCGACTGATACGCAGTGACATTGCCGTGCCTCATTGGCTCCAGTGGCCAGGCTGCGCGCGCATGCGGTCTAGCAAGGTAAGATGCGCCGCGTGGGTGCCCTTTCTCTCGAGGTCTCTCTTGCCGGGTAGTTACGACAGGCCTTCGGACTTACGACGTCTAGGCGGTGCCGGGATAGCTGACGTCACCCGTAGGCCGCTGTGCGCGTGCGCAGGCTGGCGGGGCGGGTAGAATGGGGTCGCGTGACGGCTGGAGGGCGTTATCCTGCTAAGCTCTTGGGCGTGGTGATGCAATGATCTTGGCGCGCGGGGCATTGGTCAGGTTTTGAAAGAGACTTCTTCACGTTGACACTTCCAGCGGTCTCCTGGCTACCATCCCTCCAAAAGGCGACTTTTACCCGGACAGGGTCACGTTTTTGCGGCCCGCGCCAACTGCACTCGCAGGGCAGCCTGAAACCAGGAGTGATGATCTGGACGTGACCTTGTGACCTTGTTCTTGTTCACCTCCTCTGTGTTCCCTGAAGTCACCTTCCAGCTCTCAGCTGGACCGACGCCCCAGGACCGGGGAAGGTGCTGCCATCGAGGCACAGGCAGGATTGTCGCTGCGGCCCCTCACCTGCCGGCTTCTTTTCTGCTAACGCCCCACCCCCACCCCACCACGCTTGTGAGCAGAAAGAACAAGGAGGGTGTGCAGGCAGCATCCGGGAGGAAACATGATTAGGAATTCTTGGAAGTCTAGAGGATTTGCATCTCTTCTAGGTAGAGGTCATGGTCGACTAAGGCTCATGCCGTTGAGGTCACATTAGAAATGCAGATCACCACAGCTTTCAGTTATCACAGCGTAATCATACTTCAAAACGAGCTACCCTTCTGACGCCCAGGTGGTGTCCCCAGGGGCTGTCTCCCGCAGGCCTCTATGTGCTTGCATGTGCTAGTATTCAGCTGAGTGTTTATTGACTGCATGAAACGTGCGAGGCACTTTTCTAGGCACCTGAGATCATCAGTGAGAACTCTTTCTCTGGTGGAGCTTACAGTCTAGCATCCTTCCTTCCATCCTCAATTTAAGCAATAGATACTAACTAGGGGGTTGACCTATATAACCCTTGATCTCTTCCAAACCACGGGTCCTCTGATTTGTCTCAGACCCTCCATCTCCCTGTATGACTGGAGTATTTTTATTGTTTTTGAACTCCGTGATGACTTCAAGTTCCTTTTTAATCTTACACACTATTCTCAGTCTTCCTATAAAATAGAGCAGAAACCACAACATTTATTAAAGACTTTTGGAGGGGACCCAAGATAGTGAGCATTTAGGTATACTCTTCATTTTTTCACTTAGAAATTTTTTTATTAAGTTGAGACAAGGACTCTATTGTCTAGACTGGTCTCCTGGGCTCAAACAATTCTCTTGTCTTGGTCTCCCAAAATGTTGGGATTACAGATGTGAGCCACTGTGTTCTGCCTTTACTCTTTAAGTAGGCTTATTTGGCAAACTATGCAAGTTTTTAAAAGACCAAATTTAGGCCAGGCACGGTGGCTCTCAGGCTTGAGCCCGGGAGTTTGAGACACCTGGGCAACTTAGTGAAACATCATCTCTACAAAAAAAAAAAAAAATTAGCTGGGCATGGTAGCATGCACCTGTAATCCCAGTTACTCAGATTGGGCAATAGTGAGACCTTGACTCAAAAGACCAAGCTTAGCAACACCTTGCAAATTCACCATGTTTTTATGAAACCAGGTCATAATATTACCACCCACACGCCTCCAAGGAAAATATGGTCCTTCTGTCTTGGGTGGTCAAAAACAAAAAGAAAATGTGGTCCTTCAATAGGTAATTGTTCTATCACCAGAAGTTACTAGTGTTTGTTCATAAAGGAGTTGACTAATGAGGTTTCAGTGTGCTGGTACTGCAGATCATGTAGATATTAAATCAGCTGGCCAAGCAAATGGATTTTCTTCATTTTAGATCTATTCTTAGGAGAATGAGAGTAGAAGACAGGAAGTTGTTAATTTTTTCAACTAAGGAAATTGTGCATAAAGAGCCTTGTTATTGAAAGTAATGGGAAGATGAGGCAAAAAAAAAAGAACAACAAAATGAACACTTAGCAACTTCCTACAGTAAAGCAGATATCATACATCTTGTGTTATGTATGCATTCAAGTTCTAAAGAGATTCGTGGTACTTACAATTGACTCAAGGTTCCTGAGAGAATTGGTGAAGAGAACAATGACCTTTTGCAAATTGCTTTATTTCCTATTCATCTCCGTTAAATTTACTCCCTCTGCCTCCATTTTATCCATTAGGATGGCTAGTGGCTGGTTAGGGTATAACTACTCGAAAGCAAATGGCTTAGATTTCTCCTTCAGCAATATAGTGGATGACATCTGTAGGTAGTCCCTCTTTATCCATAGTTTGCTTTCTACAATGTGTTACCTGCAGTCAACCACAGCCTGCAGATATTACAGTATTTTAACAAAGAGCACATTCACTGAACTTTTATTACAGTATATTTTTATACTTGTTCTACTTTAATAGATTCTGCCGTTAATCTCTTCCTGTGCCTAATTTATACATTAAACTATATCACAGGTATGTATATATGAAATAGGAAAGTACACAGAATCAGAGTCACTCTGTCACCCAGGCTGGGGTGCAGTGGCACACTTCTACCATGCCTCGACCTGCTGGACTAAGGTGACCTTGTCTCTACAATATATAAAAAAATTAGCTGGGCCTGGTAGCATGTGCCTGTAGTTCCGGCTACTTGGAAGGCTTAGGCAGAAGGATCTAAGCCCAGCAAGTCAATGCTGGAGTGGCCATGAGCATGCTACTGCACTCTAGCCTGGGAGAGTGAGACTCTGACTCAAAACAACAACAACAAAAATTTACTCAAAATAAATCATGACCAAAAATGTAAGACCTAAAACTATAAAAACTCTTAGAAGAAAACATAAGGCAAAAGCTTCACAATATTGAACTTGGCAATGACTCCTTATATATGGTACAAAAGGCACAGGGAAGAAAAGAAAAAAATTGGCAAACTGCACTTCATGGAAGTTTTAAAATCTGTGCATCAAAACACTATCAATAGAATAATAATAATAGAAGAAAAGATTGACAAATCATATCTTTTTTTTTTCTTTGAGTTAAAGTCTCACTCTGTCACCCAGACTGGAGTGCAGTGGCCACTCTCGGCCACCGCAGCCTTGACCTGCTGGGCTCTGGCGATCCTTCTGCCTCAGCCTTCCAAGTAGCTGGAACTACAGGTGTGCGCTACCATGGCCGGCTAATTTTTTGATTTATTGTAGAGATGAGGTCTCGCCAAGTTGCCCAGGCAGGTCTTGAACCCGCGGGCTCAGGCAATCCACTCACCTCAGCCTCCCAAAGGCACGGGATTACAGGCTGAGCCACTGAACCCGGCTACAAATCATATCTTTACAAAAGAATTAATATCCAGAACGTATAGAGAAGCCCCAAAACAACAACCCAATGCAAAATGAGAAAGGACGTGAACAGACGTTTCTCCAAAGAAGATATACAAATGACCAGTAAGCACATGATCAGAATCAATAATCATAAGGAAAATGCAAATATCAAAAGGACAAAGAGATACCACTTCACATGGCTATTACCTTCCTCCTCCAAATAATGTCAGAAAATAAATGTTGGTGAAAATGTGGAAAAACTGGAATCCTTGTGTACTGTTGGTGGGAATGTGAAAAGGTACCACTGCTATAGAAAACAGTATGGTGGTTCCTCAAAGAGTTAAAAATACAGTCACCATATGATGCAACAACTCTACTTCTGGGTATACATTGAAAATAACTGAAAACAGGGACTCAAAAAGATATTTGTACACTCATGTTCATAGCAGCATTTTTTGCAATAGGTAAAATATGGAAGCAACCCAAGTAAGTGTTCATTAAAAGTTGAATGGATAAGCAAACTGTGATCTGTATATACAATATGATATTATTCAGCTTTATTAAGGAAGGACAGTTTGACACATATTGTAATATGGATGAACCTTGAGGACATTATGCTAAGTGAAATAAACCAGTCACAAAAAGACAAATACTGTATGATTCTAATTATACCACGTATTTAGAGTAGTAAAAATTATGGAGACAGAAAGTAGAGAATGGTGGTTGGCAGGAGCTGGGACGGGAGAATAATTGGGGGGGGTTACTGTTTAGTGGATACATTAGCCAGAGTTCTCTAGAGAGACAGAATCAATAGAAGATGACTTATCAGATAGGTAGGTAGATAGGCAGGCAGGCAGACATATACATACGTACATACATACATGCATACATGCATACAGATTAGAGAGTGGGAACTTTTTAGGAGAATTGTCTCACATGATTATGAGGCTGAGACAACCTGCAATAGCCCATCTGCAAGCTGGAGAACTAAAGAAGCTAGTAGCCTGGCTAAATCCAAGTTCAAAGGCTTCAGAACTAGGGAAGCTGATAGTGTAAATCCAAGACTGAAGACTTGAGAACCTGGGAGGTTGCTGATGCAAGTCCCAGAGTTCAAAGGCCATAGTGCCTGAAATTCTGATATCTGATATCAGAAGAAGAAGAATGTCTCAGCTCCAGAAGAGAGAGAGGACAAATTTGCCTTTTTTTTTTTTTAAACTTTTCATTCTATCTGGGCCCTCTGCCTATGGAATGGTGCCTGCCCACTTTGAGTGAAGGTGGTTCTTCTTTACTCAGATCTTCCTTGCAAATGCCAGTCTTTTCCAGAAACACCCTCACAGACATATCCAGAAATAATGCTATCCCAGCTATCTGGGTAACCCTTAACACAGTCAAGTTAACACATAAAATTACTTATCACAATGGGATTAGAGTTTGGGATTTGCAAGATGAGAAGCATTCTGAAGATGGATGGTGGTCTGGTTGCACAACAATATGAACATACTTAATGCCACTGAATTGTACACTTAAACAGAGTTAAGATAGTAAAACTTTTGTTATGTATAT